AGAAATGGAATACACAAGAGATGTGGGACACCATGAAAAGACCAAATCTATGGATCATAGGCATAGAGGAAGGAGAAGAATTTTAGGTTAATGGTATTGACCAGATCTTAAACAGGATTGTACAAGAGAATTTCCCGAAATTAAGGAAAGACATCCCCATACAAATACAGGAAGCACATAGAACACCAAATAGACAGGATGAGAAAAGAAACTCCACATGACACATCATAATATAAACACTAAATGTACAGAATAAAGAGAGAATACGGAAAGCAGCAAAAGAAAAACAAGTCACATATGACCACATCAAAATTATAGCTGACTTATCACTGCAAACTATGACATCCAGAAGAGCCTGGACCAAGGTATTTCTAGTTCTACATTACAATAAATGCCAACCCAGAATACTTTACCCAGCGAAAATACCTATTATAGTTGAGGGCAAAAGAAAAATCTTCCATGACATGAAAAGCCTGAAAGAATAAATGTCCACAACACCAGACCTTCAAAGACTACTTGAAGCATTACAAAGAGAAGAGAAAGAAACAACTATACCCTAGGGACAATGAAAGAAAATAAATAAAGGTGTGATTGAAGAAACACAAAATTACACAAAGAACACAAACAGCAATTAAAATGATGGCAATCAATACACATCTTCTAATAACAACCTTAATATCAATGGACTGAACTCCCAAGTCAAAAGACACAAGCTAAGTGAATGGATTAAGAGACAAAATACATCTTTTTGCTGTTTGCAAGAAACCCATCTCACCTTCAAGAACATGCATTACCTTAAGGTGAAAGGCTGGAAAGGATTCCAAGCAAATGGCACTAAGAAACAAGCAGGGGTTACAATTCTAATATCTGACAAAATAGACTTCAAAGTAAAGCTAATCAGAAGTGATAAGGACTGTCACTTCATTCTGATCAAAGGAACAATTAATGAAGAAGATATTACAATCCTTAACATATATGCACCAAACTTTGGTGCACCCAATTTCATAAAAACAACACTACAGGACTTTAAGACACCGATTAACCCTGACTCAGTAATAGTAGGGGACTTCAGTACCCCAGTGTCTCCATTAGACAGGTCAACTGGACAAAGAATAAACAGAGAGACATCTAATTAAATGATGCCATACATCATATGTACCTAATAGATATGTTTAGAATATTCCACCCAAGCACCACAGAATACACTTTCTACTGAGCACCTCATGGAACTTTCTACTCAGCATCTCATGGAAAAAAGATTGACCACATACTGGGCCACAAAACAAGCCTCAACAAGTATAAAAGAATTGAAGTAATTCCATGCATTCTTTTGAACCACAGTGCAATAAAGCTAAAAATCAGCACTGAATGAAGCCCTAGTCACTACACAAACTGATGGCGATTAAACAACACACTCCTAAACAATGAGTGGGTCACAGGAGAAATTAAGAAAGAAATAAAAGAATTCCTGGAGTTCAATGAAAAGGAAAATACAACACAACACAACCTCTGGGACACTTTAAAAGCAATCCTAAGAGGGAAGTTTATAGCTCTAAGTGCCTACATTAAAAAATTAAAAAGAGTCCAAATACATGACCTAACAGTACAACTCAAGACCCTGGAAAGGCAAGAATAAATGAAACCAAGCAGTAAAGAAAAAGCAACAAAAATCAGAGCAGAAATTAATGAAATAGAAACAAAGAAAACAATGCAAAGAATCAATGACTTTAAGAGCTGGTAGCTGGTTCTTTGAAAAGATAAACAACTAGACACACCCCCTAGCCCAGTTAACCAAAAGAAAGAAAGAGTAAATCCCAATCAACAAAATCAGAGACACCCAAAAGATTCAGACCATTATAAGGGAATATTTTAAAAACCTATATACTACTAAATTTGAAAATCTAAAAGAAATGGTTGGATATCTAAAATCATGGGAACCACCAAAGTTAAACCAAGAAGAGATCAGCAGTTTAAACAGACCCCTAACATATAAGGAAATTGAAACAGTAATACAAAACTTCCCAACTAAAACAGCCCAGGTCCAAATGGATTTACAGCAGAATTCTACCAGACATTTAAATAAGACCTCCAACCAATACTACTTAAATTATTCAAAATGGTCAAAACAGAGGGAGAACTCCCAAATATCTTCTATGAAGCCAGCATCACTCTAATATCCAAACCAGGTAAAGACACAGCCCCCAAAGAAAACTATAGACCCATATCCTTATTGAACAATACTTGCAAACTGCATACAGACACATATTAAAAATATCATTCACCATGATCAATTAGTATTTCAGAGATGCAGGAATGGTTTAATATATAAGATAGGAGAAGGAAATTAAAGGAGCATTAACTGGAAAAGAAAAGGTCAAACTCTTATATGAACATTTGAAATTTGCCGTGTTCTGACTTTTTTTTAGTTCCCTGTCTAGAATTTAATGCTAATTACTCTTGCCTTTACTTTTCCTTCACATCTCCTATTCACCAGTCAAGGACTTTCTTTTTCACCCTACAGATAAGACTATGCAATTTGGGAGTCTCTTAGATAGACCCACTGAAGGGGTACCACAATTGCCTCACCCTGCATCCCTGTTCAGCATGTAAGAAGCCAGGGAGGTCTGAGTCCTGATTCCCTGTCTGTAATCTGGGTAACCTCTTCAGAGGATGGTATGATAAGGATATGAAGTAGGGGCTGGAAAGATGGCTCAGTGGTTAAGAGCACTGACTGCTCTTGAAGAGGACCTGGGTTCGATTCCCAGCACCCACATGGTGGCTATGACCGGCCTTAACTCCAGTTCTAGAGGAATTTGAATCCCTCTTCTGACTTCTGTGGCATTGCAGGACACAGGTGACTCACATACATGCAGGCAATACACTCATACACATAAAATAATAATAATAAATAAAGTATTAAGAAAAAGAATAGGAGGTAGGAATTTGCCTAGGCAGTTAGTGTAAAAAGACCCCAAAGAAAAGTAGCCAGTTTCTTGGCTAAAATTCAAAATGTCCTTGGGCCTCTTAACAACATACTTCATTCCAAAGGCCAAAAAATGTCAAAAGTATGAGGGAGCTCTTATCTAATCCTTAAAAATTTTAGGGTTACCACTTCAGATGGGGGAATGTTAAAGTATCAAAAAGCCCTATAAAAAAAAAGAAGGAAGAGTACATGAAATTATGAGAGAAATGTGATGGGGAGATATGGGAGGAGTTGGAGGGGAGGGAGTGGGTATGGATTTGTTAAAAACACCTTATATGGTTATATGCCTACATGAAATTCTCAAATTATTTAAAAACAAATTCACAGGCCAAGAAAATTTAAAAAAATTTAAAATATTACTAAATTTTTGCAATTTTCATACAGTATCATAATAGTATTTGATGATATCTAAATCCACCCATCCATACTTTCTTTTACTATCCCCATCCAATTTAATGTACTATATTATATATAAGGTATACAGAGTTAGGTTTGTGTCCATAAATGTCCTTTAGTGTTGCTTTACCCACTGGAGACTGGTTAACCTTCCAAGAATCCCATCCTTAAAGAGGCTGTCTCTTTCCCTCACAGTAGCCATGGGTTGCCAAAAGTTCCTTAGATTGGATTGGGATTTATTACCCACTTCCCCATGTCTATGTTGGGATTTTGTCTGGTTTGAGCTTGCATGGGACTCATGCATGCTGTCACCATTGTTGTGAATTCAAATGAATAATTGACTTCCCGTCCAGTGGCAACTTTCATTCGTGTGTGTGTGTGTGTGTGTGTGTGTGTGTTTGTGTGTGTTTCAGGTGTTTCTACTGGTTAGTTTTTATTGTCAACAATGAAAGTAACCTAGAAAGAAGGAACCCCAATTGAGGAATTTTCTCCATCAGATTGACCTGTAGGAATTTCTGTAGGGAATTGCCTGGAGTGATGATTGATGTGAGAGAACCGGCCTATTTTGGGTTGCACCATCCCTAGGCAAGTGGGCCTGGCCTATAAAAGAAAGGCAACTAAGCAAGCCAAAGGACTCAAGCTAGTAAGCAGCATTTTTTCATGTTTTCTACTCCAAGATCCTGCCTTAAGTTCCTTGTATGGCTTCCCTCTCGGATGGACTTTGACACTGTAAGCTTTTTCCTCCCCCAACCTGCCTTTGGTTATGGTGTTTTATCATAGAAACAGAAAATAAACCAAAACTGAGTTATTTCCTCTGGAAGTATCAACTATAGATTGTTCTTTGCATTTTTCCTGTCTTCTCCAATCCCTCTACTTCCCTTAGATATTTGCTTCACCTCCCCTTCCTATGCCCCCCAAATATCTCTGTCAGATAAATTGAGCTCTCCTATCACATTTCTTTTCATTCCATGGTACACTCCTTCTAGGTGGTAACCTTGACTTTTTCTCTAAATTCCTAATGCTTAACATGCAACTATCATATAATTACTTATTAAAGGAGAATTGAATGGAGGGGGATCAACCATTAAGTTAATTAATTGATAGTTCATTGTTTTAAAAAGCAACCACAGTAAAAGACTGCAGAAGATCATACAGTTTGCTCAGGAAGAGATGCTCTTTCAGATACTTTCACAGATCTATTGATGAACAAGGTTTCCATGAAGTGGTTTGAGCCTTGGGGATGGAGCTTCTAAGCAGGGAAGCATTCCTCACAACTATAGGACTGTTCCAGGAATAGCACTCTCCTATGTATCATTCTGTTATCGGTGACAAAGATGTGAAGATGACTGCTCCTCTCTTCATATCCATGGTTCACTAGCTCCTCCCTTCTGTAGACTTGGGACTGGGTAAGTCTTGCAGTTTTTATCTATTATTATGTACTGTCATAGAAAAACAAAGTGCTTATATAAATATGGAAAAACTTAGCAAGAGTATAAAGTCCTTAAAACTTTTTAATACTTTTTGTTTCTTTGAGACAAGGTCTCCCTGTAACTACAGCTGGCTTGGAACTCACTTTGTAATGGCCTTAATCTCACAAAGATATGCCTTCTTCTACCGTCTCAGTGCTTGAACTCAAGGTCTGGCAAGAATATAAACGTTCTTAAAGACAGGTGCAAAAATGAATCCTCCTTTACAATCCAGAGCTCATTGTTCAGTATGAGTTTTGAAGCATACAAGAAGCAATATGACAAGGCAACTCAAAAGTTATGCTGTTGAGAGAAAAGATGGTGTAGGAATGAGGCACAGCCTGTTCAGCAGGCCTTGGCCGGGCCTGGGGCAAGAGACTCCCAAGAGACTGAATGCATGAGATGAACCATGTGAGAAAATTTATCATACAAGATGAATATTGACCTCATCATAGGTGCTTCTATATTGATCTCAAAGTTCTGAACTCAGGGCTTGGCAAGTAAGAAAGAAAATAATTGGTGAGCCAAGATGGTGATGCAGCCAGAGCAATGGTGGCTATGGCAATTCTCAGCATAAGGACTTAAAGCATAAAGCCTCTTCATTTAATTCAGAATCTTGATACTTCTATGTTGATCTCAAAATTCTGAACTCAGGACTTGGCAAGTAAGAGAAAAAAAAAATAGCTGGTGAGCCAAGATGACAGGGCCCCATTGACTTGACTACCCATGCACATTGACAGGGTGCAGGTGGCTTGGCTGCCCACACACACCAGTAGAGCCACAACCACCTGTCCATCCACATACCCTGGTGGAGATGCTGGCCTGGTCATCCACACACTATGGTGGAGTCTGGCTGCCCAAATGCACCAGAGTGGAGTCGGGGAGCCACACTTGCATGGTTGCCCACATGAACAGGTAGACAGGAATACTGGCCCCAATGTCACCCATGGTCTGCTATCATCTTACCCTGTTGCTGTCAAGACCGGGCTGTAGTCCTCAACGTTAGGAATCTGAGAAATCTATAGATTCAAAAAACTAAATCAGAGGACATTGGTCTAAAGCTGTGAAACTTCCCAAATGTCACTCAGAGGGTCTTGGATTGGAGACCTGTGAACTAATTGCTACCTGTTGTGAGGACCTAGCTTATTCTTTTAACCAAAGTAAAACTGTGTGGGGAATCATCCTGTTGAGGAGTGCCTTGGCCCACAGTGTGGTCATTGTGCTGAGTGAAGCCCAGAAACATCCACAGTGTAACATGCATGCAAAAGCTGTGAACAGCTAGCTTTGATGAGGAAAACTAAGCATTCCTGACTGCTGAGAAAAAGAGAACTCCCTACTTAACATTCCTAAGCACTGTGTAAGAGAAACAAAAATTAGCAGTGAAAATCCCATTCCAGGAAACCTGTGTATATTCTGACCCAAACCACATACAAAAGAAAGGGAGTGTGTCCTTACTTTGGAATTATAGATTACCGACACTAATGTTATATGATTTCTCCTGCACCCAGTTCAGTTGTGTAAGATAGATGCGGTTTTTCCTTTGCTAATAGAAGACATGAAGTTGGGGGTAAGGAGGTAGGGGATGGTAGGGAAACAGTGGAGATCTGAACATAATAAAAATGCATTGTATGAAATTCTTGAATCAAATTTCTCTTAAACTTGCTATCTTATGAAGTCTTCTTATTAACGTTGCTAGCACCTTTGGGAGGAAAGCTCTTATTGTTATCAAATTCACAGACAAATAAAAACATTTTGCAAGGTTCCTGTTAGGAGGTAGTGTATGTCTTGAAAGACTGAGTGAACATAAATGCAAAGAAGGAAAATAATATAGGACTTGGAACATGCTCTCCAGGCAGATGTGGGGTCTAGCCATGCCAAGGAAGTTGCTTCCTCTAACAGCAGTTGAGAAATGGAACCATTTTTGTATCAGCTGGAAGAGAGATTTCAGAGGAAAGGAGGAAGTTCAGGAGACCTGCTCCTTATTTTCAGAGCTTAAGGCAGTTAGGAGCTGTTGAGGGAAGTAGATATCTTAGAGGGGGTTAAGATAAGAGAGTATTGGCAGCAATATTCTCTGTTAGTGGATTTGAAATGCTGCCAGCTAACTTAACAATCTGCTTTAAAAAAATTGCATGAGTTTACATAGCCTTCACTTGTATTTGCTAAGCAAAGCTTATCATACTTTCCCTTCAATTTTTTATTTTCTTTGACCAATGTTCATTTTTAAATTTCATTGTTATTTTCTTTTTTATCCTTAGATGATGGAAACCTCCATTTTTTCTCCTTTCCTCTTTACTTTAGAGAGAGGAGGAACACTTATAAATTGCCCTTGAGATATAATATCTTCCAAATATTAGCTCAGGGAATAGGAAGTTTCTGAGTTACCATGTGCCACTGTTTGCTGGAATAAATAATCACGCAAAAGTCTGGTTCTTTCCACCCCTCTCTCATTCAGCAGAGTACAAAGCAAGGTTATATGCAGGAATCCAATTGTGAGACTATGAATATCTGTTGTTTAGTTTGGTTTTTTTCTTTCTTTTCTTCCACCACATCCTTTATTTATTTATTTCTGGTGTCTTGACCTTAATTATTTATTTCTTCGAAACAATAGAGATGATTTAGAGTGGGTGCATATACAAGCATAACTTGAATGTGTATGTGTGGTTTGTGTGTATCTCTGGAGGTTTAGATGTTTCTATATGTGGACATGTATGACTACATGTATATGTGTGTTACCTCCCCCTAAAAGAAATGCTGACTCTACTGTTGCTGAATTTTTAAGGTTTTGCAATCAATAATGATAATTTGCTAAGTATTGATAAACTAAAAACAAATAAATGGATGGGTGAATGTATAATTAGTACACATCTTAGTATCTGTTCTCCAAGTCTGTTGCACTTTGAAATGCATAGAATGCCTTGAGGTAACTTGAAGGACAGAGGTTACAGTGTGCTAGGTTCAGTTTCCTCAAATCTTCACTTGTGCACCTGTTTTAAAAATGGTTGTTTGTTTTTTTGTGAAGAATTAAGCACTTTGTAAGCTGGAAGCCATCAAAATTCTTCCTTTTCTATTCATCATGTACTGCTCTTGCCAAGATTAAGGCCCTACTCAATTATAATGGAACTCCTATGGAAACGTCTATTACAACCACATTAATATCTCATTAGTTCATCATGTTAATGTTATTAAGATGGTTACCAAAGGAATTTGCACTGATTGGTACCTAATATTGAAAAATTGTTGCCCTGAGAATCAGGGAAGAGGGAAGCTCAAGAGAAGAGGTAAAAAATCTCCTTTCTGTCTTTTTCCCTTAAACTAAAAATAGAAAGAAAGAAAAAGGAACAAATGGATATTCCTGACAACAATATACTGCAGAGACTGAGATTCAAGGTAAAAATCTATTTTTACAGGTGCAGCCATTAGTTTTACTAGCTAGGCTAGCATTATTTGTTTTAATGGCAAAGACAACAAAAAGACAAACTTTGCTTCACAGGAATACCTAAGAATGCAGTAACAATTAGTTATGTAATTAGATAATGACTAATGATGATAATATCAGATCTGTGCCTTACAGCACTATGTATTTATGTATTTCCCCAAAACAGCTCCTATATATTTATCAAAATGTTAAACTACCCCTACTTCTCCATTTATTTGTGTAAGTTGAGAGAGATAATGAAGTTGATTACACCACTTTAAAAGGAAAATAAAATCCCTACAATTTCAAACTCCTGATTCTCCAGGTTTTGGCAACAAAGTTTGGTTCACAGTTAAGAGGTGAAACCCATCTTCAGTCATGCAGGAACTTATGAGGCTATAAGCAGAAGTTCAGTGGGTATCCCTACAAAACATCTATATAAGACTTCTACATCGGCTTCTCAAAACCCAGCAAATAGCCAAAAGACCCAGAAACTGACCAGATTCACAGAATTCTGTTTAGAAATTTTGTTGGAAATATTCAAAGAAGAATAATAAAAAGATTGGAGAGTTATTCTTAAATTTTTATAAAAAAACCCTTTGTACTATTTAACTGCAAAAAAAAAAAAAAAAAAAAAAAAAAAAAAACACTGAAGACCCAGGTTCAAATCATAACGCCCACATGGAAGCTAACAACTGCCCATAATTGAAGAGTGAGTAATCCCAGTAAATATGAGCTACGCTAAAATCAAATACGAAGCAATGCTCTTTTGATGTTCCAGTTTTCTAAAAGAGGAAGAGAGATTCTGCACGCTATTGAATTATGAGATTTATTTCATTTCCTGGAGTTCCAAGAGGAAATGGTTGGGTATCTTTCCAGTGAACTCATTTCCTTCTTTGACACATATATTTGTGTATGGTGCTGGGGGAGATGTGGGGGCAAGTACTTTGGAACTAACACAAGGCATTTGAGGGGGCTTTCAAAATATCTCCATTGATCAATTAGAGGAATATTGGTTAGACAGAAGGTGGAAATAGTATATGAAGGATAGTTTCTATCTCACATTCACACATCTAACTCCTTGTCAGAGTGGCCTCTATGTAGGGTGTGTTGGTTCTCCAATGCTTAGGAGATGACTCCTTGATAACTGCTGTAACTGCGTATTCCTTTTGCAGTCTTCCTTTGGACCTTCACTCTGTGCATTTAGGACACTCCCATCCAAGACTGTGATAACAAAATTTTAATCATGGACTTTAGATTGCATCAAAAGTCCATCGTTATGTTATTATTTACCCAAAGAAAAGAAAACTTGCTTAGCCTAAGGCAATTAACTAAGAATGGAGTTGCCTTCTTCTAACATAAATTGGCTTCATGGGGCCATAAAGGTGTAGTTCTGCTCAGATAATGATATCTAAAAGATCTGAGTAACCACGGAAGAAGGAATGCATGGTTTTGTAAGTAAACACAGTATATGTTGGTTTTTACTCAATTCAGATATTTCTCCAATTCTATTATGTAAAAGTTTAAATTTTGACGAGACAGATATTCTGCTATGATTATTAGCATTATATCAGCCACAAAATATATTCCATTTAATCAAGTGAATGAACACAAGAGCAAAATTATTTAGTAATATCCACCTTTGAGCATAGACATATTGGCCAAAAGTTGTAACACTGGTTTAATTACAACCAAACATAACACTCCCCTGATTATAAAAATGAATTTTATTATTTATTATACAAACCAAATTTATCTTCTTTATAACATTACAAGCTCTCAAAATAGTCTCAAAGGAATGGAAAACCATACGTTTTTAATTATAGGAGATAATTTATTTAAACATTTGTATCAGATTGCTTAGGT